AGACATCCCACCCTACATCAAAACAGAGCAGCACCTCTGCACCGCATGGTCCAGAGTGACCCCTCAACCAGCCTTGCTTTGATCTAGGGTGTCAGGCTGAGATGACTTGACAGCTTCTCTATTTGGCTCTCACCTTGTTGCTGTTGTGTGCTGCAGCACCCAAGCAGTTTCCTTCAGGCTTTCCAGCCCTCCTTCAGCAAGAAGTTTCCAGGGCAGGAGCCTGCCTGCCTTCTCCTTTGCAGCCTGGTGCAGTGAGGTTGGCTGGGACACAATTAAAATGTTCTTCATCTCTTACAACTCAAGGTCTCCAGGGCATGGATTTTTTTGGAAGACTGAGACCAGGTCTATAAAAACCAAGGTTTAATGTCCCTTTATCTTTCCCATAGAGGGACTTGTTCTTTTAACTGGCTCAATATCAACACACCCAGTGTGTAGAAAGTGGCCCAATTTCTTTGTCTCCTGACATCCTGAACCCAGAAGCAGATGGACGTTAACCAGCTCTGATTAGTTGGGAGAATCAAGCATTAATTTTTTATACGCCAGGACCACCTGAGTGACGGAAATCAATTACGGCTGCCCGTCCCCTTTCCATATTAATGTGGTGTCTCCGAGCAGAGACGGAGGAACCTGTTGAAATGAGAAACCCCTATTTCTTAGTTTGACCCCCTAGATAATTAGGGTTAAGTTGATATGCTATCGCACTGGTGACACATTTTATCTGCCTCTGTTTGTACAAGAGGATACAATAGTGGAGGAAGGACCAATTTGTGCCCTGCTCTAGCTAACCAGACCGAGATAAAAGGTGTCACTAGTACGATAACGTTCTTGCCTCATGCTCCTTTATTGTTGCTCAATTTGCCTTTTTTTTTTTTTAAATCCTGTTCTTTTTCTTTCAATACCCTTGGTCATATTTTAACTCCATGCCATCGCATAATGACGCCCTGCTAAATGTGTGTGGAGATAGGCAACTCTGGCTGACAGCCTTCCCTGATAACCGAATTCCAGCCCATCCATCACCAGGCTGCTCTCCTTAACTTAAGGAAAGTGATAACTAAAGCAAGGCCGTTTATCACGGCTGAGCTGTGCGCTTCTTGCCGCCTTGGAGAGAGCCAGCTTCAACAGGAGAAATGCAGCCATGTCACCTCACCTCCTATTTGCATCCCGTTCATCTCCAGGCCCCGTTTACCCTGGAGAGTGGAGGAGCAGGGCTGGATGGAAATTAGAGCCTGGGGTGAGGAAAGCCCTCTGAAAATGGTGCGGAGCTGCCACTGCTGACCACAGTCCAAGGAGGACTTGTATTTGCTTGGCTGGCGGAAGGGAGTGTGCTACCCAATGTCACTTAATCTTCTGCCCAAAGGTGACCTGCATTTTGGGAGCAGGCAGGGGTTGTGCACTCCCATCTCTGCTGCTGGGGATACAGACTTTACCAGAGCTGCATCGGAGGCTGGAAAATCCCACAGCCATTTTTAAGTTTCTCTCCGTCAAGTGCAGTTGTACTTGAAGCCACAGTGTTTGGCTGATGGGGTGGTTTTGAGAGCCAGCTTCCTTCCTAAGAAGCGACAGCTTCAGTGTCTGGGGAGGCAGTAAGACCTCATTCGAAAGCTGGAAGGATCATGGAATGTTGAAAGCAGTGAAATGTACCATCATTTTTCCTTTACGTGAGGAAGGGCCAAATCCTGAGCTCTTTGCTTGAGCAAAGCTGCCCCCAGTGAGCAGGGCTGACTCTTGCAAGAGCAAGAGCCTGTACTGAGCATGGGAGCGCATTTACCAAATGAGCTGCTCAAGTGAACGATGGCCCTGATAAATAGAGATACTTCCTCACAGGCCCTGGCGCTTCTATTCCCCAGGAGAGCCACAGATGTACCTGGTTCACTCCAACCTGGAGAAGATGCTGGAGAAACTCCTGTCTGGTCACCAGGCTGAGGACTGGGGGGACCCTGCAGGTGACGAGCTTGGAGCTGGGGAAAAGACATTGCAGGGGTGTGTTCCTTCCTGTAGCTGCTGGGGACCTGGCTTCTGCGCCATGAGAGACCCTGGTTCCCTGCGCTGGGAGCGCTGTGTACCCAGACCAGACCCATATGGCGATGCTTTGCTGAACGCAAGCACATGGAATGGCTGTGTCCTGCTGGCCTGGAGCCACCGGGCCTGCGTCTTCCAGCTTGGGAAGTAAACTGATGCTTTGGTCTGTGCTGCTGACAGCCCACCCAGGTTCTAGCATGAACATAGGTCTTCTAGTGCTTGAAAAACTTAAAGGCTCTCTGGTGCTAACATGAAATGAGGGGAGCACAAGTGTGGAGGGGGATGGGGAATGTCCTTAGGTCACACAGCTTCACAGGCTGTTTCTGGGTTGTTACTTGTTTGCAAAAATGAGTCATTTATTTAGTTGACATATTTATTTGGAGCATTTATTTTCTCCAATTAAAAACCCAGTGTCCAGCGCCCAGGGCGTACTGCCATCAGTCTCGGGGTGGAAGTAGAACTAGACTGTCCAGTTTACTGGGCCTTTTGGTCCCACAGGGATGGAAATGCTTTGGATGCCATTCATTGCACTGAGTGGTTAGCTGTCAATTCCTGTGGCTAACAAGAACAATGCTATACTCACTGCTTCTGGGCCCTATCCAAATGTTAGGTGAATTGATAGTTATTTCTCTAACTGGAGCTAGGCTGAGACCTGTATTAATGAAAACCTCTTGGGCTGGGAGGAGAAACTCATCTTTTAGTAATGTACCTTTTGCTAACTGCTGTCATCATCCTCTCTAGCTAAATGTGAGCAATGTAAGAGAGGTTGAGCTGATCACATATCTGTAATTAAGACCGGTCATTTGTTTTAGATGGTTCTTTTTCTTGTGTTCTTTTTTGATTTGGGCACCAGTAGAAAGCAGCTTTCCTGGAGAAAGAGGTTTCTTAGCATCCCGGTTGGGGCTGATCAGGTCTGTTCAGCTACGGAATGTCATGGACATATGTGTAATGGCTGTAAAATGCATGGATCAGGCTGCTATTTATGTGACGGCTCTGCAATTGCGAGGAGTGACTCCAGGTGGTTTATTTCAGTGCGATGGTGCTAGCATCAGATGAGCCGTGCCCAGAGATGAGACTGTGCTGTCAAGTCACATTGCTTACCCTGCAAATCGCCATAGTCCTGCTACTTGGAAGCTCGTTCTTTTGACAGGCTTCCTCCTTTCAAAGAGATTCCTCCGGACCTCTTTGTTCAAATGTGTTTGTATGACTTAAATTATTGTTTCTAAATGATTACACGTGCATCTTTTCAGGACCAGGCATTTGGTTTTGTCACAGAGAGTCTATTCCTTTCTTAGCCTAAGCAGGTCTCACAAAGTCAGTACCCTGGGGGGTATGTGCGGGCTCTGTTGGCCATGTATTCCCAGAAGGTTTCCCTTGGATATATTTGCCAGCTCCCTTCCTTTTCTTCCCATAGAATGGAGGCAGCAGTGAGACCAAACCCCTCTGGTACTGCCCTACCCTGGGTCTCACATTATCTGCAAGCGCATTATTTGTTTCCCTCTTTCAGCTCCTTATTGAGAAATTGTTTGTAGGACTGAAGAGATGCTGCCCTGTTCCCCAGGGGGTCTGGAGCTGGGCTGTGCACTCAGGTACTGCATGGGGTGCTGATGGTGCACCCCAGCTGAAGGCGGTGTGTCTAGCTTGTATCCACATCTGACCAGAGCTTGTTCCTGAATTTTCGCCTTGAATCTGATGTCCAGTCTGGATTAAAAAACTATGGAGAGTGGGAGAAGGCTCTGCCCTGGACGTGGTCTGTGTTGGGATGTTTGAGCAGCTGATGCTGGCACTCGCAGCTCTTCCCTCCTCCCCTACAACCTCCCCTGACAGGCCCCAGATGCCCAAGGAAGTTGTGAAATTCCCCACCCCCCTCTGTTTGCAAAAGCCAATTTCTGGGGTTGTGGCTTTTAACATGCACAAACTGCTCTAATTTAGTCATTTATTTAGTTGACATATTTATTTGGGATGTTCCTTTGCTTCAGTTAAAGATACTGTGACCAGTGCCCCAGGCGTGCTGAGCAGTATGTGAATGAACAAGATCCATCAATTACTCTTGATCAGATCAAACTGGCCGGGGAAAACTCACATAACTCATCTCCCCACACAGGCTTGGCTGGAGCCGCATGGCTTTGCGACTCAGCCTTCCCCATCTGAGGGGCACGTTGTAGCTCCCCTGCAAACACACTGGGGTTGGCACAGTGTGGGAGGAACAGCTTTCCAAATCCTGGGGTCCTGCTGTCTCTTCAGGGAACCCACCTCCCTTACTGCTGCCGTTTTGTTTTGTGAGCCCTATTCCAGCAGCTTGCTGTAGGCAGGGAGAGGTTAAATACACATGCTCACAGCTCTGGCTGATGATGCTCAAACCTGTAGCGAGACAGTGTGCAGCACCTTGCGTCTTTAGAGTTGTGACTGCTCTCTTCTTTTAAGCACCTGCTTGGAAAACAGCCTTTGCTTTCTTAGCCCTAAAAAGTTGGTCCTGCAGCATTACTACCCAAAAAATGAATGACTTGGTGCCTCCTTCCCTCCCTCATGTCTCATTCGGTGTTTTAGGCCAAATGGAAAAGCACCAGGGCATGACAGGTGAATTGTCAGCCCTCCCGTGTGCCCTGCAAGCTGCTGGTTAAGCAGGATGGTTTTGCAGGGATTTGTGATGAGTTCACTTAGCTAAGCACAGCCCGGATGCTCCAGTCGGGGTTGGCCCCTGTGGAAAAGAGCTGCCTGCTGCACTTGCACACAGCTCCTGTTCGCAATGTTCTGTCTGAAAGCTGTCAGCAGCCTGGATGTGACTAGATGTATACAAGTCTTCAGCCAAGCTGTGCTCTCGTGAGATTTTTTTGCTAAGAGCTACAGTCCTTCTGATGTGCAGCATATTACAGGAGACTTGAGGGTCTCTTCCATCTCAGAACGAAATGCACTTAAGAAAACAGAGTTTGTGTTGTCAGGACACTGATTGAATCAAACCTGCTCTCTCTTCTCTCTTACAGGTTACCAGGACAGTGCCAGTACTTAGGGCTGCCGGTTGCTGATTACTTCAAACAGTGGATTAATCTGAAAAAGGTACTTTTGTGCAAACTGCCATGGTCCCTGTCTCCCTCTCTCCCCCCTCCCCTTGTCCTTCTCCTCTCCTCTTTAAGGAGGTGTCTAATAACTACTGCTGTTTTGCATTGAAATGAGTTATTTTCTCAGAAGCTGGGCTGAACGAGTCCTCCGGCTCCCTATTGTATCTCCTCTAATAGAGTCTTACTGTACTTGATGGGATGTGTTCTGCAGCTGGGGAGAATCCCATTGTGGCAGGCACAGTGCAGTGTCTGCATAATAGCGGGACACTGTGAGGCCCCTCTTCAGCGAAGGTTGTGTTGGCCCCAGTGTTGCTGACTCTGTTTTGGTTTGCAACCATGTAAGGCTCCTTGGAGCTTAGTTCCCTTCAGATTGAATTACGGTTGATAAACACGTGGAAATATTCCCAAATAAAAATCGGTATTTCCCTTTGCGCTGTTGAGAAGAGGAGCTGTCTCAGCAGCACGTCCATCTAAGAAATCAGTGGTCACTTTGCAAAGCAAATACCTTGGACTTTACTGTCTGGTGCCTTGTGTTGCTCCGTGCCTTCTCTGGGTGGTTAAAGAGCAGCCTGCTGTGCATCCACAGGGCCTCCTGGCACAGCTGCTCCATCTGCACAGAAAAATGTGGTGATGCTGTAAGCTACAAATCAAAGTGGGAAGAAAAGAAGTGTGATCACAAGCAGTGGCAGGGTGAAGGGGGGAGGATGGGGTCTGTGCCCAAGAGAAACTGGTGTGGCTCTCCTGCTTAAACCTTCGGATGAGTACGATTCCCTTCCCCCATCCAATTTAATGTTTTATTTGGATTTCTGTGCCTTTTCCTCATAATTAGGGGTCTCGGTAAGTGGAATTTGCTTGTAAACAGCTCATTGTACTTGTGGGCTTTTCTTTTGTTCTTTTATTTATTTATTGTTTTAAATGGAAGCATGAGTGACAGGCTGAGTGGCCACAGAAGGACAATTTGCATGATCTGTTCCGTCAAATAGGGTAGAACATGAACTTAACAAGGGATGCTGGCAGCACATTCCAGGCTGAACTTGTCAAAGAGTCTTGTATTTCCCCGCTGTCAGAGCAAATCTTTTGGCTGATTGCTGGTCCTTGGTAAATGAAATCTGAAAGCACATTGGGGCATTCTGCAGTTCAGTGACCATTAATGATCGCCATTTGAAGTTCACTAAACTTCCGGTGAATGGATAGCAGCTATATAACCAGCAGGTTGATGGCTGCAGAATAATAATATTTAAAAAAAAAAAAAAATCCCTGTGTTCTGTGATGTTTGCTAAGAAGTAGGTTGATCCAGCCATGCTCCTCCTCTGGGCCTCAGGATGAATAACTTAGGGCTCTTTCCCGTAGTTCGAGGCTCCTAGGAGCTGGGATTTATCATAATGTGGACATCCAGGCAAGTGGCTGTTCTTCAAGATGGGCGTTCATGTATTGGGCGTTCATTCACCAAGTACTGCGATACTGAGTTGAGGGCTGGTGAGCATCCATGAAGTACCAAGCACAGGGCTAATGGCAGGAAGAGGAGGAAAGCTCTCCCCTGCCAGCTCTCTGGAGGGGTCCCAGGCTGAGCATGTGGGATGGGGGCGTGTGGGTCGGAACCTGTGTCTTCTTGTCCCCTCTCTGCAGGTGTGTTGCTCAGAAAGTAAGACTCCAGTCTCCTTCAGATCATGCATGGAGGGGATGTGTGTCAGAAATGTTCTTGCTTCAACCCCTCTAATCCCTTAAACATCTGGAGTTTTTCTGACTCTCTAAAATCTGATGCCCTGTGACAAATAAGGACAGATATCTATCCCACCATAGCTCAGGTGCCCCCTTTTCCCCTCCCTCTGACACATCCCTGACTTAGAAATCCCTCCTAGGCTGAGTCTGGCTCTCACCAGATCGATGAAGTGAAGGTGTTGGGGAGGGGGTGGTGTGAAACTACTGATTTCTAGGTCATGGATAATGCAGAGACTTGGATGTTTCAGCTGTCAGGAAAACGGTTCATATGAGCGTAAATGGCACGTATGACTGAGAGCAGTTTTGTGCAGGATGGCCCCACCTGCATCTGCCATCTGTCCTTTGGGTCTCCGCTTGTGAGCAGCGATACCAAGAGGAGTCTACTGAGTTAGGGAACTGCTGCTGCAAATACAAAGCAATACGAAAGAGTGGGATTACTTATGGAAGGGTGTGTATATGGAGCAGACATGTTTGTGTACCTGCAGGTAGTGCGGTAGCAACAAAATATGTTCCAGATGCCTTCTGCCCATGCACACACAGCTTCAGCTCCTCTTTGTCTCTGTTCTGTATTGTCTGAAGAAACAGTCCTTGTCTGTGCTGCCTCTGCATGAGATGCTCCACGCTCGGCAGTCCCTCTTCCCAAAGTGGTGAGACAGTCATTCCCAGGGCTCATTCTCCAATAAACTCCTTCCCTTGTCACTTGTGTGCTGCAGGAGCAGTTGAGGTGAGCACCCTGTGCCTCCAGGCCTCTTTCAGAATATCTGAGACTTGCCTCTTGAGCAAGCTGAAGATGGGAATCGGCCCCCGCTAGCTGCCACGCTTGTGTTGCCCCAGGAAACCCTTTTGGATTGATCTGGCTGTGCAGGTGGTGGTGAGCTCCACACCTGACTGCTGCAATGGTGGCCACAGTGTCTTGGGATCTGTGAAAAAGTCTTCTGTGGAGGACAAAAGGAGAAAAGCTGCCTGTGCACTTGACCGCGTTTGCTGAAGTTTTACCTTGCACTATGCCCCTGCTCCCGCCTGTTAATGCATCCCTTCCGTCAAGCCTGATCAGTGTTTGCTGACATTTTTAATGTCACTGAGCGATCTTGTATCTCTGGTGAACTGTCAGTGTAGAGCTGACTCGGGGCAGAGAGTTTATCATGTTCTTCACTTCGATTAGCTCAACCTTGTGGGAGGGCAGCAGAAAGCAGAGGAGGCTTTCTTTGAATGCTGCAACATTTCAGATATCCCCCTAAACCATCTCGATAGGGAGCCACCATCCTGGCTGCCAGTTCTCCTTATTTACCTGTCACGTCGATGCACAGAGGCCCCCTGGGTTAGGACTAAGGTGCAGAACCTGAGCGGCATCATTGGAGCTGGATGCTCAGGATGTCAGGGGCACCAGTGGAGGAATACGTGCAGAAAGCAGGAGGTTGTGGGTCGAGTTTTATGTGAAAAGGAAAGCTGCTGAAGCTAACAAGCTCCAACCATGCTGCTGCCCTGAGAGTATCCTCAGGTAGCCTGGATAAATTCACTAGTGCTTATTCTAACACAAGGATCAGCTCCCGTTCATGCTCTCTTTGCTCTTTCAGGAGCCTCTGTGGTTTATCATTCCAGGTCTCGCTTGAGTTAATGCTGTGGTCAGTCCCGTGGTGGATCCTCACTCTGCGGGTATGGAGCCAACGCTGTGTTAGGCTGAAGATACAGTTCCTGCCATCACAGGGTGGCCGGGAGCCTGGGAACAGGAAACAAGGGGCAGGCAGCAGGAGTGCCAGCACTGTGGGGCTGGGAGCACATCACAGAGGGGAGACTGGTCTGATGGAGGGAGGAGGTGGAAGAAGCTAGATTCTCTTACAATTAGCATGTGCAAGAAAAACATTAGAAGGATAATGAGGTTGTCAAAATGGCCAGGCCAATGTTCTAACCCAGATCCTTTCTGTGCCAGAGGCCAGTAGCCGATGCTTGCAGGTGTAACAAGGAGAGCATGACTCCAGTCAGCTTTCTCTGGTTCCCAGCTGTTGTCTGTTCAAGGATTGAGAGCTGGTGGCTGCCTCTGGACCACTGTGTCTAGCACCCACTGGTTTTACTACATCCATCTACCAGAAACTTGTACATCCTTTTCTGACTCTGCTCATGCCTTCAGTTTCTACAGCATCCTGCAGCAATAAGTTTTGCTGTTTAATTAGGCATTAATTGTACTCTGTTTGTTCATATATTGTATGAAGATACAGGTCCATTTTCTTATGCCTAGGTCTTGCATTGTGTGAAGGAGCAAATAAGCATTTCCAGTTCTTCTCCCTTATGTTATTCTTGACTTGAGACCTCTGCCATACTCTTGCTTCATTGTGTCTCTTCCAGTGCGGCGTAACTTGTTGGAGGGTTGGCACTAAGGCACTTGTGGGCTCTGTGACTCTAGAACTGGATTGTGGAAGCTGTTTTTAACACTGCATACACTATCCTGATCTTCCATTTCTTCTCTGGATGTTTGTGGTTAAAAGATGAGTATCTTAAAAGGTTTTATGTAACCACTAAAGCTTTGTTTTATTCCTTGTTTTTCAAATGATATTTTATTAATTTTTTTTAAAAATTCAAATCTTCATACCCATCACAGAGCTGCCCCTTTCTCAGGACAGCTGTCCTGGCATGTTTGACCATCTTTGATTTCTGTTCACAGAGGGCAGCATGTCTTTAGATACATTAAAAGTGATAGAAAACTGGTCCTAGTTTGACATTCTCCTGAAGTCCAGGAGAGGTTTTCTGCAAGGGTTGGAATGATGTGTGTGGAGAAACACAACTTTTCTTCTCTGGGCATCACAGAACAGAGCTGATGGAGCCTTGGGGAGCGCAGCGTGGCCGTGCTGGGGGGACACGGCTGTGTGCAGGGCTGGCCTTTTCCGGGCCCAGCCTGTACTGATCTGAAGATACTCCTAGTTGGAAGCAACCTGTTAATACACGTGCACAAATGTTTTAAGGTCACCTACTCACATTGTGAAATCTGACAGAGGAAGCATGTAATAGGACACTTTTGTTAATATTTGGCAACAAGAAATAAACACATGTTAAACAAACAAAGATTTGCTAACAGCTTTTTGTCTCTCCTGAATTAACAATTCCTTCTGCCTCTGGGGTGGGAGGAGGAGCTCTAAGGGCTTCTCAGGCGCTTGGTGCTGAACTGACTTTAGTGCTTTGGATGAATAATGTTGAAATGGGTGCAACTGAGAAATGGTTTATTTTTTGGCCCATATGCCTGGAAGTTGCTTTCGTGAGGTCTAGCTTCTTGAGGACTTACTGTGATTG